AAAAAAAACAAATTACAGCAAATACAAAGTACATTACTTTTGTTTCAGGGGCATGAAGGTAATGAATAAACAAATCAAACTGACACAGACACTTCAGAAGGCAAATGAGGACATAACCTAGAGAGAGAAAAAACAGGAGCTCACAGTGATGGTGTCCAGAATACTGAGCAGGCTGTGGACGCTGTCTCCGGGGAGGACATCCTTCACCACTGATTCTGTGCCATCCTGCAATATAAAAAAGAAGAATACAGGACATGATGTCAACAAAATAATATTAATAAGGTAAAAAATATTTCACACTTTCTAAACAAATCTGCAGACATCTAGTTGGATGAAAGTAGGACTTCAGCTAAGTGGACATGATTAGAATTTAAGCAAGCCAACAACATATTGGGATGCCACTCACTTGTTGTGATGGCAAAAATTAAGTAGTTACTATTTATTCTATTGTCCTCTGGTGTTCATGCTTTATCATTAGAAGTAAAACTGGAAAACAGAAAAGGCGCTGAAAATGAATGTAAATTAAATTAGGTACAGTTTGGAGCTGACCTTGCATCACACTTTTTAAACTGAATTTTAATAATGGCCAGTGGGCACAGTTGTTAAAATTGCAATACAACTTTTGAATTTACCATTTTCTATATAAATTGATGTAATGTCACAGGTCAGTAGGGCTGGGCTATATCATACTATTCACGGTAATACCAGTATAATGTTAGGCAATGATAAGAAAATGAAATATCGGGTTGGAATATGGGTAAACGTGCATGTGCAGTGCCTTTGTTTTCATATGCACATGGCGGCGACGGAGAATGAGAAGGGCAAAAGCGGATTGCTGAATGAAACAGATAAACCAGAATTGGTTTGTAAAGCTGGTGCAACTTCAATGATGTGGAACTGGTTTGGGCTTTCATCTGTCAGATACACACCAAAGCACATTTTTTGGTAGAGCATGCAAGCAGGCCATCGTTATTACCAAACCAATTTTAGGTGGTACACCGTGCTCAAAAATCTGTCAAAAGTGCTTTAGTTCGACTTTGCTAAGCTACGAAGCCACATCGCTTGATGGATTGTCGGAGCATTATGTCTACCGTAGTCAGGAGCCTCGCGGAGTAATACGTACTGTGCTTCAACATAATATTACCGCATTGTGTGTGTGTGTGTATAACCTCTTTTTTAGTTTTGTGGATATTATACATGGTTATGCTGAGGATATGTCAGCTAATTTGTACTGGAAATGCCTTTTGGTTAAACTGTCAGCAAGGAATTTGCACTTGCACTTTTAAATGTTTATATTTTTGGCCATATTGCCCTGCCCTACAGGACAGTAAGAATAAAAAAAAAAAACAATATTACTTGCATAAAAAGAAAGAGGCAATAGAATTTCAAAGGTAATTAAGTTTCAAAATTAGCATGAAGAGAGAGACAAATGGAAGTCAACACATCATTCACATACATTCTCTTGTATGCACAACTCAAGTCTTCCATCCTGGACCACGTAGATGCTGTCATCATCATCTCCTGGTTTGAACAGGCTTTCACCCTCCTGTAGCTCAATAAACACCATATGTCGACACAGCTCCAGAAACAGAGGCTTCTCAAAATGGCCCAAGACCCTACAAGTTGAAGAACAAAAGCAATTAAAAAGAAAAATCACACACACACACCTCTAAATATTGAGGAAAAATTGACTTGCCTACCTGACATTTTTCAGCATATACAGGACCTCAGAAGGCAGATTCGAGCTCTGCACTTCAAACTCTGTTAGATCAGCTTCCAGCAGGGAGGGAGGGGGTTCCTTGGGCTGCAGGGTGGGAGGGTCTCTCCGGATCCTCAGAATTCTGTCAGAAGGAGAAAAACAAACAAACATGTACTTTAAAAACAAAACACAAATTTCACAAAAAGCCTTGAGTACACAGAATATAAAAATGTGTTCTTTCGTCATACTTGCGAGCTATGTTCAGAACTTTGGTTCTTTTTCGTATGCGCTGTGGTTGCTTTGATGGCGAGGGATGGGATGGAGAAGGAAGTGAGGAGAGTGTCTTAACCTACAAAACAATATTCAAATATATTTTGTTTATTGCACGCAGAAAAAGAATTTTATCCAAAGTTGTCCTTCTACTTAAGAAATATTAAAACTGATTTTTTTTTTTTTAAACTGCTGGATTAAACATAGAAAGGCTGTTTGTCATTTATCATCAAGCCAAACTACTGAAGGAATTTTCAGTCATTGTGTATTAGGGTTAAACTATAGTCTTAGTAGTGTTGGAAACTACAACTAGATGTTAACATCAAGTATTTTTGGACATCAACTGTTGGCATAAAAGCATTAAAAGCAAAATTCACTAGTTTTTATAGAGCAGATAACAATCTACTAGACTATACTAATAGACTATACCAAGAGAGCGTGTATGAGCCATCAACAGAACTGAGGAGGAAAAAAAAGAAAAAGACAACCTTTCGCATTATCTTCCTTCCATAGAAAAGCACTTTATCTCGTTTCCTGAATCGATAGTGAGGTACACCCGGTTGTTGATTACCTTGTCAGAAAATCCAAAAATATAATGCAGATAAACAACAAATGTCATTCTGCAGAAGTGTGTAAAAATCTATCTATCTATCTATCTATCTATATATATATATATATATATATACACACATACATACATACATACACACACACTTTTTTATTATAAATAAAATAAATATCATTATTATTATTTTATTTATATATATAATAAATATGAAGTTCAGCAAGAGGTCAGATGACTCACGGGCATGTTTGAATCTCCTGTAAAGGAAGAGCACCACAATCCCAATCAGCACAACTGCAACCATAGCTCCAATCAATACACCTGTGAGCTAGAAGACAAACAAGACTGATGAGGCAATAGTATGATCACATGACAGCACAGTTACATAGAGTACAGCACGTTTGTAAAATTATTGTTTTTAGTCCAACTTTGCATCACAATTAAATTATCCGTATAACTCTAAGCAAAACGAGCTCTACGGAGTGGAAAACCGCCTGATTTGATAACACTGTATCCAGGGCCCTCATTTCTTGTACAAAACACAGGCACTCAATTTCCATTACATACCATGCTGGTCTGCATCCTCTCCTCCAAAAACTGTGGCAGCCGTGCACGGAAATCAGTTCTGCTCATCGTTACCACCTAAATATAACAACAGATTCAAGTAATACATGTTCAACACTGGTAGCTTCCGACTAACTGACTTTTCTCCTTTCAAACAAAGTTAGGAATAATTTTAACTGGAATTATGCGCTTACTGAACTGGCCATTTTGCACAGGTCTCCATCATCCTTTCCATGACACTCTAACCTATAAGACAAATCTCTATTAACGCTGAGTCTGCAACCCAAAAATCACATGCCATCGAGGGGAACCAAAAGTTGCTGAGGAAAAGGCAAAAATTAAGAAGGGGAACACGGATTTGTATGTTAGCAGCCACTCTCGCCATGTAGCGTCGTGTCACCTTCTTAATTCATCTTAATAAAATTACCAAAACACGATTAGGTGTTATAAATAGCCAGCAACAAAGTAACTTTCGATAGACGTCAAGCTTTAGACGATTTACTGAATACGTCTGAATGGAGTAGCTAACGTTAGCTAAAATAACATTCGCTAGCAGCTGTCCAGCTGACTGAGAGTAGCTGCTTCACAAGTTATCTTGAAGAACTAAGATAGTCCAACTCTGTGAAGTTGACAGGGTGTAAAAGACACGAGGCTTACTTTTCGAGCATCCTGGGGTGCCGTTTTCAAGCTGATAACATAGCTAAACAGAAGCTAGAATAAAGTTAGCGAGAAGCTAACAAAGTTTTATGCTGTCATTTGCTTAGCTCCGCCCTTATCCGCTGTTACCTTGGTAGCGCTCAGATTATTTATCCAATCAGAAACGGACTAGGCACATCCTCGTCTTCCTGTTTTTAACAAAGCATCTTTGAAGGCTACAAACATCCGAGAGGAAGTGGAGTTTGTTTATTTCTCGACCAGTCTCTTATGGTGCTTAATATTTCTATAGCATTTTCGAGTTACCTTTGCCTATTTCAGACGTTTAATATTTATATTTGTCACACTTACTTCACATGATGAAATACATTTTAATATTGGACAATGATAACATATGTAAATACAAAATACGAAAGCTGAATGAGCTTTAACTAGCCACACCCAGTCCGGATTTAACCTAGAACTTCTTTGTGAACTAGCCTAAAAGATCTCAAAATACAACATATCACGAGCTAAAGAAACTTAAGAAAAGATGAGAAACAATGTCATTGATATATGTCCGTTTGGAAAGGGTTACGACACCATTTCTCTAAGCTCAAAGACTTAGAAATGGCAGGTGAACCATGGTGAACCATTATCCACAAATAGAGAAAACCTGGAACAGTAGGGTACCTTCCCAGGCATTGCAACCATACCAAAAAACCTCCAAGAGCACAATGACGAATCATTCAGAAGGTCACAGAAGGACCCAGAACAAGTTCTAAAGAACTGTAGGCCTCACTTGCCTCTGGTAAAGTGAGAGTTCATTATTATTCAACAATTTAAAAAAGAGAGACTGGGCAAAAATGGCATCCATGGGAAAAATCCAATGGCAAAAACCAATGCTAACCAAAAGGAACACAGAGGCTCATCTAAAATTTGTCAATAAAACATCATCCCTAAAAGTTTGTGGAAAGTACTCTGTGGACTGACAAGACAAAAGTCAATCTTTGTGGAAGACTTGGGGCCTGTTAAATCCTACATAAAACAAACACAGCATTTGATAAAAGGAACGTCATACCAACATTCAAACATGGTGGTAGTGTGATGGTCTGGGGCTACTTTGCTGCTTCAAGACCTGCATGACTGCATGACTTGCCATGAATTCCTCTCTCTAACAGAAAACCCTGAAGGAAAATCTCCACCCATCAGTTCATTACCTGAAGCTCAAGAGCAGTTGGGCAATACAGAGGGACAATGATCCGAAACACACCAGAAGTCCACCTCTGAATTGTTCAAAAAACAAAACAAAAAGAAGGTTTTGGAGTTACTTAGCCAAAGCCCGGACTTAAACCAGGTTGAGATGCTTTGGCATGACCGTAATCAGGCTGTTCAAGTTGAAAAACTCTCATTATGGCTGAAGTAAAACAATTCTGCAATGCAGAGATTATCATTCCTCCACAGTGATGTTAAAGACGCATTGCCAGTTATTGTAAACACTTCACTGCAGTTCTTGCTGTCAAGGCTGGCACGAACAGGCATTAAGTTTAGGGGGCAATTACTTTTGTATATAGGGTCAGGTAGATTTGGAAAGTGAATTTTACTGCTATATTGCATGAAATACTGCTTCCATAGAAATAAATACATCAAGAGTCATATAGACATGTAATCAATAATTTTATTACCATAATTCATTTGCTATTAACAAACTGATTAAGTTTCATCCAATGTTTTGGATTCCATGATGATGAAAAATCTGCATTCACCATACAACTTTAATATAAAAACGATTACTCATGACAACTTTAAAGCAGAAATTTAGTAGCTAATAAATTCATATACAAACATTCATTTACCAGCATTAGCCACTTTTTCATATTTAACCTTTAATGTATGTCCATAATGTCCATATAAATAGATATACTCTTTCCTTCACCCTGCATTTATGCATTTAAATTAAACCATTCTCATACGGTCACTGCTAACATGCAGTCACTATATAAAAATATGTAAAGAGGAGTTATGTACAGCCATTCATCTTTTTATGTGTATGCTAAAATAATGTGTAGTTTAAAATCTGATTTGAATTAAGTGCACTTAACATTACGTTCAGACACAAAACACGCACGTACACGGCATTTACAAAAACACTCGAGAAACACTAGAGGGAGCCAAAGTCATGGTAACAACTATACTTTTTATAGAAAGTAAATGATTAAACTGCCATTTTTTTATTGTCCACACAGATGTAATTTAAACAGATATAGAACTTAATTTTCAACATGGTGTATTTGAGTCTTCTGCATTTTATCTCTTTCTGTTTTTACTTTCTTTAATTTCATGAATGCTGTTTCAGTTCACTCCTCTATTTGCTTAGGTACTGGGCGACAGAATGGTAGGCGAGGAGAATCTCTGAGTCATTTGGGCAGGTGTGGCGAAACTCGTCCCGTTTGTAGGCATTCTCTAGGTAACGTGTCAGACCTTTGAGCTCTGCAGGGATGGCAAAGTCACGGTACTCCTTAATAACCACCTGAGGGAAGAGCGATTTTTTGAAATAAGTCCAGGAATGACTCATTACATTTCTCAAATCATCCCTACTATTCAGCTAACAGTGAAAATTTCTCTCTTCTTCAGGATTAAAAAACAAAACAAAGTGAAAGGTTTGTATACACATGGGATTGCTGAATTCTGTTCACCTTGACAATGTTCAGTTTGGGAAGCAAGTTGCAATCTGCCAAGGTAAGGCTGTCACCATCCAGGAAGAGGCGTGAAGATACTGTAAGATCCGGGTTTTTGTCCAGCTCGTGAGGGAGAGGAGTTTCTAGATACATGTTCAGCTTCACCAGAGTGGAAAGAAATTTCTTCTCGAGCACTGAAAGAAGTTGCAGGCTTTCTGTTAACCCATGGTGGCTCTTTCCATCATGCAATCATATATATAGCATAAGTGACTTGAAAATTTCAAAATTCTTACTGTCATTTAAACCAGGATTGGGATTTTTGATATATGCTGAGAATTTTCGGAAGATGTCTTCTCCAACACTGTTGGACTCTTTGTATCGACAGCACAATTTTGGGTGCCTGTTGTTAATGAAATAAAACATTTTGTTAATGTTTGGTGTTGCAGTGATGGGTTAGATATGCAGTGTGTTTCAAGGACTGAAAACACTGTGCTGCATATGTTTGAAGCAAGATGCCCTTTGCTCACTGTGGTGGGGCTAAGGTCTCTTCCAGGAACTCCTCAATCTTATTAGTGTCCGTTTTGACTTCATCATTGTAGATGAGAAAGGGGGGCTGAGAGCCTGGAGCCAAATCCTTCAGTACATCCGGAGCCCTGCAACAGATCAGTAAAGTCTTATTTTGGCACACTTGATCAGAAAGTTAAAATGTTTTACTTCCCAGCCTAAACCAAGCAAATGCTATGGAAAAGCATGCTATGATCACTTTCTAATGATGTGTTTTGACACCTCAGTATATATAAATAAAGCCATGCTATGATGACCATTGATGATTAGAGTAATTTCTGGCTTTTTTTTTTTTTTCAAGGTAGCTGCATAGGTAGAGACCACCCTCGCTGACTTCTGATGCATGCCCAGTGGTTTTTGTTCTATAAGTAGGCCTGAAATATGACAAAAATTGCTCTATTCAGAAAAGAGCTTCAAGGATTACTCCTAATTAAATTTTAAAGGGGTAAAGACTTAATATCCACTGCGGTTTGTTCTCACTACCAAATGTGTTTTATGGCTATGAATTAGTTTACGAGTGCAAGTGTTCTTCTAGAATCATGCACATTTACCAGTCTAAATTTGGTCTGTAGTGATTCCTACTGAGTGAAAAATAGACTGACATGATAAGTTTAACAAAAAAAATACAAACACGGGTTTGAAACCATTGAGCTGCTTTTGTTTTGTGTTATAGATTAACAGGGCTTCATTATTTCCCCCTTTTGCAAAATATGAAGAAGCAATGACTGCTGGAGTACAAGCAACTATCTTAACACCTTCCTACAGAATTTTTGAGACACCGGAATGAAAGTTTTCTATTTTTATATGATTTAAATAGTGTATTTTATATACTTAACTTTCATGTTGTTTATGTTAAGTGCAGCATGTTTTGCTCCTTGCCCCCTCCCTTTCCGCTGCCTGTTCATCAGAAGGACAGCTTTAAATTTGATGTCAAACCTTTGTGTGGGGGGTTTATTCTTTTATTGTTGGTTTTGGTGTTTCTTACGCCTGATTCTCACTCATACATTGTAAATGTCATTCAGCTTCCCGTGTGTGTGTTTGTTTTTTTAAACCTGCAATACCTGATTTTACGGACACTTGGGGGCAGTGTCAACAAGTGAACACAACATTTGTGTTTTTGCCTTTTTAAAAATTGAATGGAAACTGATTTGTTTTAGATACAAACCTGATTATTTTGAGCTTGTTTGCTTTAATTTTGTGCTACTTTTGAGTCGGTTAACTGTTTGCTGACCATTTGTTTTTCTCACTAGTGTTTCTCAAACCCTTTTTTTTTATTTTTGTAATTGATTTGAATCTCGTGGAGCTTTTGTTTCTTTGCAGGTGTGTAAAATATTTGTTTGCATCATGTTGTTATCTGTCTTAACAAATATCTCTTTGTACTCGTTTTCAGCATCTTATCATTCTTAACCTATTGCGGTCATTTGTGTGACTGCTTCAGAATCTCAGCCCTTTGGCCTACACCAGGCAGCAGTCTTTTCTGTTCAGTAATCTGCCATTTCACATAATAAATAGTTTTTACCAATTTTTTTTTACCAAAACTGAATCCTGTATGAATGTAAATAATTTGCCTGCCTATATGTTTTATTGCTGTGGCTGTTTCTTGCATAGCATTTAGTGTCCCTGTAACCTTTCCTGAACTCAGTGGGGTTGGTGGAGGGTGAGGTGTTGGCAGATTTTCATTGTTGGGTGGCTTTTATAATGTAAATCAGACTTTCCTCCCATTTCATTTACAAATGCAACTCTCTGTCCTTGAATGCAACTTGTGAAAAACAATGTAAATAGTAGTTTTGTTGAGACTACATCAAAAAAGCAGTATGAAGCCAGACTCCTTTGTGCCCAGCTCTTAAAGATTCTACAAGACTTTTTGAAAAACGAATAAAATGTGCTCTCACCTCTTCATGTCTACAGTGGTCAGGGTAAAGTTGGCCCCTTTTAACCAAAGAATCATGAAGAGTCTCTGACAGAAAGGGCAGTTCCCCACACTCTCAGCATCATAACTGGCCTGACAGACAGAAACAAAGACACTTTGCAGTCACAGCAGATGAGTATAAAACAAGCTTTTATGATGATAAAATTGCACAATTGTACGTGGGTTCTGGTATCAGGATCTAACAAAACCAGGAGCACCTACACAGGTATTCTCGTCAAGCCTGCTCTGCTCTGGCAGTTTAAGCTAACTGCAAAGGAATTTCACACCCAGATTAAAAAGCCTATTATTGTAATACTGGTTTGTATCTCTGCCATATCCTGCATTATATGTTTTACTACAGTTTAAATACACTGAAATACTGTAGTTTGCTAAAGTTAAAAGCTTTTTTTGACACATTTCTGTCACTTTAGATGTAAACAAACAGGAAAATGTCACCTTGTGTTACCAAGTAGCTGGGAATGAGCAGAGTTTTTGCTTAGACTGTAACATGTCAAGATTGTTGTATGTCTTACCTTTACAAAGAGTTCAATCTTTGGCTCCTCGGCCATCTTACTTTCTCTCCGTCTTTCCACTGATGTCCACGTACCTCTGCTGGTTCCACAAACTGATTTCTTTCTGTCACTGCTGATGAAAGGACAAGGCAGAGCTGTGATAGTGACTGAAGTAAAGACATTTGCAATTTTCTGACACACCTCCTTACCTGTTTCTTTCTCTCTGTTTTTAAAGTAAGTACATATACTGAAAGATATACTCACACTGGTGATCACAGCTAGCACTGGATGCAAGACCAGTACTTTATCTTCCCTCCACCTGTATTATTTAATTGCTCTACTCTTCACCTGTTTCTGGGGATTTTGTTCTGCCACCACACCTCTCCAGCATTGAGTGGCAGCCTACACCTCCTCTGGAGTTACCAGTCAGACCAGCAAATCTGGATCTGGCTTCACTTCCAGCATATTCTGTCGATGAAATCTTTCTGTCTGTCTTTGTCAATTGCTATCTAGCAGAAAAGATCAGTTAGACAGAAAGGAGTCATCAAAAAGTGGACTATTTCTATAGTTTCAAGCTTGCTTACTTTCAGTTCAGTTCATTTAAACTTTATTCATCACAAATCACAACAACAGGTGCCTCACAACGCTTTATATTTTAAAGTAAAAATCCTACATTAATAGATCAAAAACAGGGAAAACCCCTGCAAATCATATCACACCAAGATGTCTGTCTCCCGAATCCAAACTGGAAGCCCAGAGAAGAGGGGCCTGAAGGCTCTGCCTTCCAGTCTATTGCTAGGAACCACAAGTAAACCAGCAGTCTGAGAGCTAAATGCTCTAATGGCATTACACAATACTATGAGGTCTTTAAGATAACACGGGCCTGATTATTCAAGACAATGTATTTGATGACAAGGATTTTAAATTTTATTCTGGATTTAACAGGGAGTCAATGAAGAGAACCCAATATAGGAGAAATCTGCTCTCTATTTCTAGTCCCTTTCCGTCCTTTAATTAACTGCAGCATTTTGGATCAACTGCAGGCTTCCAGGGAGGTTTTAGAACAGCCTGATAATAACAAATTCAATTGTCCAGCCAAAAAGTAATAAATGCACAAACTAGTTTATCAGATAGGATGTTTCTAATTTTAGAGATATTGCATAAATAGAAGAAAGCACTTCTACATATCAGTTTAATATGCACAAGGACATATCCTGGTTAAACACGATTCCAATATTCCTGACAGTGTTACTGGAGGCCAGAGGTAAAGTCATCCAGAGTAAGAATCTGGTCTGATACCACCTTTCTAGTTTTTTTAGGGCCAAGTGCAATAACCTCAGGTTTAACTGAATTTAGAAGAAGAAAAGTTGAGGTCATCGATCTCTTTATGTCTTTAAGATATTCGTGCACTTTAACTAATTGGTGTGTTGTATCTGCATAGCACTGAAAATGAAAGCTATGCCTTCTGATGATACTGCCTAAGGGAAGCATATATAATGTAAACAGAATTGGTCCTAGCACTGAACCTTGTGGAACTCCATAATTAACCTCAGTGGGTGAAGAGAGGATTCTCCATTTACGTGAACAAATATGTATATAGATATGATTCAAACCACTGCTGTGTAGTATCTTTAATACCCACAGCATGCTCTAATCACTGTAAAAATATATTATGGATTAAAGTGTCAAACACTGCACTGAGGTCTCAGAGGACACTCACAAAGATTGGTCAACTTTCAGAGGCCATAAGAAGATCATTTGTAACCTTCACTAAAGCTGTTTCTGTACTGTGATGGGCTCTGAAACCTGACTGAATCTCTTGAATTAAACCATTGCTCTGCAGATGATCAGTTAGCTCTGTTACAACTACTCTTTCTTTTTGAGATAAAAAAGGAAAGTTGGAGATTGGACTATAATTAGCTAAGACATCTAGGTCAAGTGATGGCTTTTTAAGTAACAGTTTAACTACTGCCAGCTTGAAGGCCTGTGGTATGTTTCTGATTAATAGAGACAAGTTGATCACACTTAAGACTGAAACATTAATTAATGGTAGAACGTCTTTGAGGAATGGACTCTAAAGGACATATTGATGTTTTGGAGGAAGGAATTACAGTTATTTCATGGGGCAAAGTTTGAAGTATATCACATGCTGCTGTAACATCAATAGCATGGTGCAGTAGTTTTCCAAAGGATGTTTTCACTGCTTGTGGCTGCTTCCCCATGCTATAAAGAAAAATTCTCCACTAGCTGATGAGTCACATTTTGCACACTGTGGTACCCTCACAGTGGAACTGGAAAGAGGGCTATCCAAAATATTGCCACAAAGATGATATTGTATCTTAAATATCATTGTTGAATTTATTATTAAACTCTTTTTTTCTTTTCTTTTTGGCCACATTATTCTTTCCATTTCAGATATAAATTAAGCAGTTGCACTGAGGAAATTTTTAGACCCAGTGTTTTCACATTCAGTTTGATATGTTTATATTGGACATTTTCCACAGCTGTTTCTAGTTGTCGATCTGCATTCATGACTGAATAAAAATGCTCTTGTGTAACAAGCATTCACCACCGAGACTTGTGTTCCAGTTGGCAAGAAGAGAAAGAAACACCCTCAAGGATGTAAAGAGAAGAAAAATGGTGAAAGCTGAATGAGTGAGATAACATCACTAGAAAGAAGCAGACTGCTGTAGCTGTGACACAACCCCTACAACACTGTATTATTCCACAGGCGAGGAAGACTGAGGGAGGAAATCATAAGGGTGTGACCTGTCTTTATCAGTCATCTGTGACTTTTTGTGCTGTGAATTCCGTAAGCTGATTTCATGCACTCAAATACATGTTAATGAAAGCAGTTTAGTGTATTATTTTGTCCGGGATCGAACAGGATGTTGTTCTGCTTTTGAAACGCTCAAATATTCTTTGAATAAATTCTTCAACAATTGAAACTAAATTGTCATATGTGCAACGAATATGGTGTAAAAACAGTTTAACATAAGCACAACATAAACCAAATATGTTATATAAAACATGGTTTTACTAAAGAGATGGCATATTAAACATACATGCGATTACCATTATTTACAGGGTATGACTATGACTATGATGTTCCTTTCTCACATTGCTTCATCTGAATTGGTTGCACAAGCACAAAGATGGACTTTATTTAGTATTTGATAATCTATGAGATTTAAATATACTTTCAACCATTTTAAAATCCTATTTTTTGTACCCTTTGATAATTTAAAGCTTATACACAGATAAGAGTCGGGTGATTGGGACTATTGTAAAGGAAAATTAGTAGTTAAAAGAGGCAGATAATTTCTTCTCCATGGGGTCCAGAAATCCCACTGGGAGCCACCAACATGCACAAGCTTGTTGAGCTAGTGATCTGCTCACAAGAAGACTAAGGATGACCTCTACTGCTCAAATTCAAGATTACATAAGATGGAAAATAATTTTTTGCAGCAACACAGGAGATCCAGCACACCAGTGCACATAATTACATATTCAAAGATACATTGTTACAGATTTTAAACTACGACTACACTATCTGCAATTCATTCTGGATCAAATACAGACTTGTTCACCACTTCTTGCCGCTGCTTATTCATTCCTTAGCACTAACAAACCACAAGTGATCATCAGTGACAACCAGGCATGTATATGTAAATAATACTCTAAATATATCTAACATCTCGCTGCATGTTGTCTTTTGACCATTCAGTGATGCAAACAGAAACATGATGTTTCTGATACAGGCCCTTTCCCTTTTTGTTTTGTTTGCAAAATATTTCTGCACAGTAGTACCGATGTTGGTGTTCTTCCCCCTACAGCAGCTTCCCTGATTGTAACTCAGTCTTGTGTGAGCTCCCTTGTGTAACCCCCATCTTCATATGTCATGCCACACTTCCTCTTTTTTACAGCCGTGCACACATGCAACGAACTCGTCTTGAATATGCTCCATTTTTTCTCATAGAGTGAGGGTTGCCACAGACATAAAAGAGAAAGAATGTTCCGCACTTACCAGAAGGCAGGAATTTAAATGCAATGCGGAGTTAGAAAGAGGCTGGGGCAATGTGGACCTTTTTATCTAAACACATATTCAGCAAGATTTCAGAAAAGCCACACCTCCGATTCTTTAAAAGGCTTTGTGTTTTTGGTTTTCTAACACAAGTTTACCATCGTAACAATATTCGTGGTGATTGAAGACAGAGAATAAACCACTCATCTCATCATCAGGTTAGTGGAGGAGGTTTGGGGTTTTGCCTTTCATATGTCTTTCTGGTCAGTGTGGTTCATCTAAAGAAATTTCTTGCAAAGCAAAATCTTGCTAAATCTTTATTTGTTTTTTTATTTTTATTTTATTTTATTTTATTTTTTATTTTTTTTGGGGGGGGGGTTAAGTTTTGCGCAAAACACACTTTGCTTATTTAATCTGCCAGCTTGCATTTCATTGACTGCTAGAGATAAATAGAAACATGCAGGTTTAAAAGTATATGGTCACCAGCCAGTGACAGAACAACAAAATCTTTTACAGCATCCTGTAGCTGATCTTTAGGTCTGAACTATAGACATGGCCTGTTTCTTAAGAATATTGCTATTTAATACACATGTTGACATAGATTTTGAATAAAAAAATATATAAGGTATTAAGGATATATACAAATGTTTTTATGAAGGAGGCTCATTGGTTCTATTTGTTTTTCCAAACATGTGCTTTCTTCCTCTACCATGCAAATGTAAGGAATAAATTTGTGAAAATATTTCTTCAGGAGTTAGTGTGGGAAGTCATTTTAAATGTTGCTCTTCTTCATTTTCAACAAACTGAAACCTTGTAGTTTCAGGTCTTACATATTGCAAAATCCCATTTCCTTAAGTCTGCTAGCTGTGAAGACACAGACAGGTTCCACAGAAAAAACCACACCGTTTAAGAAATCTAGAGCTTTTAAATGATATAGGCCTTTAGTTTAGAATTTAATATGCAATGTCATGCAATGCAAAAATAGGATTAACTAAAATATTTGAATTGCATTCGTTCGAGCTTACACCAGGCGATTTGTAACTCCCTTTGTGTCATTTGTGCAACTGCTTGATTCTGTCTTTTGAAAATGACAGGAGCAAACCAAATAACAGCTGGAAGATAATAACAACGTGTTTTGTACACATGCAAATACTGACTGAAAGAGATTTTTCCCCTTCTTATGAAGTAATATTTAATTTTTGTTTTGTTCATTTAAAGCAAAGGACAGGCAAGGTGCTGATCTGTGTAGGAGGTGGTGAATCGTGTTCATACTGGAAGCCACATGTTAAGTTAAAGTCCCTAATGGTGAGTCCTGAACACAGTCACTACTCTACCCAAAACTGAATACAACACGCTTTTATTTACTTTAAGAGAGACTTCTGATTTTCCATATAAATTTACAAAGTTACCTTGTGAAGAAAGTGCTTCTTTTTTCAGTTTCTCCATAGTTTGATGAGGTGTTGGTCACTTAATGACAGACCTAAGCTCTATTCTGGGAAGCAAGTTTAGCTCTGACGTTGTTAAGCCAGATAAGAAGAAAACCCAACATTCTGCTCCAGAAAAAGTCAGTTACTAGGTTAAAAGAATCTGTGAACTAAATCTGTTCAGTGGCAGGTTTTCATCAACAAACTCTGAATTTCTGTCTGACTGCCACGCCACCACCACAGCTGAATCAGTGACTGCATGTTTCATTTCTTCAGTCATAAAGTCCCTGGCGAACCTCAGAGCGATATAATTTCGTTTCCAGAAGCATTTTCCAGAAGCTTTTTCGGTCTTTGTCAACAGGTTGACAAAGACCGAAATCTCAGTTAGACGTTTGCTATTTTTTGCACTTAACATCTGCACTTTTGCAATGATTTAGTCAGCAATAACAATTGTATGAAGTCTTGTTTTCACCACTGAAAAAATCAAAACATATTTTTTGCCAGTTGAAATTTTGAGATAATAAATCATAATGTAGTGTAACACATAATGGAGATAATAACAGAAATTTCTGATGCATGTCTGGGTTTTGATAGTTTTTTCTTTTTGTTTTTTTTAATTATTCATTCATTCATTCATTAGCTGAAACAAACTTCCATAGAATGGAGACAGCGATTACGTCACTAATTTATTATTTGAATATCTTTAAATATTGTTTATATTAATTCTATTTAAAGCTTTAGCTTTAACACGTTGATCACAAATCAGTCATTTGTCAGTGAGAAGGAGAAAAAAAATGCCTGTCACAGTTGGATCTCGATGTGAATATTTGAATGAAGATGAGGCCGAAATGACTTTAAGACTGTAACATCATTAAATGTTGCAGTCTGACTGTGTTGTGAACATTTCAGGTTGGACTTTGTTCATAGGTGTACTGAGGCATATCCCCAGAATGGGCTCTGGTAGAAGGTATCATTGGCAAAACAGGTGGAAAACCACTTGCACAGCGGGATTTAAAACAGATAAGCATCACTGATATTTTATGGTACGCTCCTGAATTTCTGAGTTTCCAGACAGAATTAGAAACTAGAATGCCTCCTCAAATTTGATTTCCCCAAAAGGGCACCAGTGACAGTAAACAGCTGTAAACTGTGAAACTTTTCATTGGAACTGCCATTGTTCTCCATTTGTGACTCGCTAAAAAGAGCACTGACCAGGCTGTGGCTGTAAGAGAACCATCATCTGTCACTGAAGGTTGAGATTAGATCAGATTAGAAATATTTACACAGAGAATCTCACTAAGCATTTAAGTAAGTTGGTTACATCCCATCGTTTTACTATTACTTTAAATTAAAACGAAAATGGTGATAAACTGTAGCAAAAAACTTTTTTTTTTATTTATTTACTTGTTTTTTGTTTTTCATTTGAGATGGCAACAAATAGTGTATCCACCGTAGTTTTAAGATGAACATCATTGTCCACACTGATGCATATTCACATCCTTCGGTCTGCTGGGTTTTAATCGGAGGCTCTGCTCTTTATTTACCCATTGCAATGGTGAATCTGTGGTCTATGACCTCCGTTGTAATGTGTGCTATACTGCAATTAAACAGATGTGAAAGTCAAAAGAACACAGTTCAGAAATTATTCACAGTGCAGGTTTGAGGTATATTTTTTTTCTTTTTTTAGTGGGCTACATACTGAACCCTAGAAGATAGAAACAAAGTATTGATCACGCTAGCATCAATTTGATACCAATACCAGCATGGCTATTGGTAATATTGAAATTCAGATTTTCCCACCTCGACTCTGCTGATGATGTTTTTCTTCCTCTGGTCAGGCACGCCTTAACACAGAATTGAATATACACAGAGATGATTGACTTAGCACTGATAAGCCTCTCTGGAACCAAAAGATAAAAAGACTTTATCAGAATTAATCATTTTAGATTGACTTTTTAAATATAGCGTTTTGTGAACATGTTTCCTGGAAGAAGCCTCTGGTGTCTTAACAGATGACATAAAGGGATAAGCGCTAACATGTCTCGTTTCAGGAAGTTTATAATGACGTCTGTGCAACACTTTTTTTAACCTGTGAACTGTGCAGAGTGCAAGAGGAAGAATTTAAATATGCTCAATTTAAGTGGACCTTTAGAAGGATGCATTTACTGAAAATGTGAGGGATTATATTTAGGTAAAACAAAACCGATCATCCTTGAAGTCTATTCAAGAAAAAAAACATGCAAGTAATGTATTTTCTTTATATATCTGCTCAAGGCAAACAGTGCAAACAGTGAAGCAGGAAACTTCTGTTTCTGATGTGTTCATTCTTTTCTTATCACAGGGGTTTCACACCAAAAAAATACACAAGTTGGTGAAGAGGCTAGTCATCCTCCCTTTTCTCTGTTTTTTACCACTGTGTCTCTTCAGTGGGTGGCTGAGTAGCTCTGTGAAACCTTTACATCATGACAGCAGAAGTAGAAATGTGACCGTCCTGCTGTGGTATTGGCCCTTCAGCAGATCATTCAGCCTGAAGGGTGACGTTTGCTGGGATCTCTACCGTATCCCTCGCTGTATTCTGGTGGACGAGCGCTCCTACTTCCCCTCTGCGGATGTAGTGGTGTTCCACAACAGGGAGCTGCAAGTGGGCCTCCACAAGTTGCCTACTAACATCTCACGGCCACCAAGCCAGAAGTGGGCCTGGATGTCCCTGGAGGCTCCTTCTCACAATGGAAACTTACATAAGTATGCAGATATCTTTAACATGACCATAACCTACAGGAGGGATGCTGACATCAGCATACCCTATGGCATGCTGCTACGGAGGGAGGCTGAAGAACAAGTGAATGAAGACAACTCTGTAAACAAGAGCTCTCTGGTTTGTTGGGTGATCAGCAACTATAAGAGCCACCACAAAAGAAGCCAAGTGTACAACAACCTCAGAGCTTCAGTTCCTGTGGCGGTTTATGGGCGCTGGACTAAAAACCGCCTCCCCTCCTCAGAACTTTTACCTACAATATCTCGCTGCTATTTTTATTTGGCTTTTGAGAACTCACTTGCTAAAGATTATATCACGGAGAAGCTGTGGAGGAATGCTTACGAGGGAGGGGCTTTGCCCATTGTCCTGGGGCCACCTTTAGGCAATTACAAAGCTGTGGCTCCACCTCATTCTTTCATCCATGTTGATGAGTTTGCGTCACTGAATGAAATGGGAAAGTATCTACAACAGCTTGCAGAGGATAAGAAACGCTACAGTGAGTATTTTACCTGGAAGAAACAGTGGAAAGTGAAACGGTACACAGACTGGAGGGAAAGACTGTGTAATATCTGTTCAAAGTACAACAGTTTACCTAAGCACAAAGTTTACTCAGACCTAGATGCGTGGGTCAATGCTAACACGAGCTTAAACATTTAATCAAATTTTACTGTATTTTTTGCAACATTTGTAAACATCATGACATCATTCTCTGAATTACTTTGAAAACAGTTCAGAGTGAATGTGAAACTTAAAAATCTAAAAATTGTATCTAAAAAAATATTTTAGAAATGTGATTGTATGCACACCAGTTAAACTGCACTGTAACTAATATGCATTAACAACAATGACCGAGTGATCTGCTACACTGAGATCCCTAGCACTTTACTCCAGTACACTAAGGTTAAAAACTACCTAGAATGTGGAGATATTTAGAAAAATGGATGTAGTGGATATCTGGATAAAGTGTAACCTGCCTCTTGCATTATGGAAACGTCTGTAAACACACACTGTACTGTAAGTGCTACTTTGTACAAACTATGACAGAAAACATCATTTTCCTGTGTTGCAAGAAAGGGATGTTTTATTAAAATTATGCTACCACTTTTACACCTTCAGTTATTAAAGAAGCTGCTGTTGCAATATTGTCTGAATATATAAAATACTGTGAGCTAGTCAACTGCTCCAGCTTAGAAAGACAGTTTCATACTTTTAGAGAGAACCAGGCTAGCTGATTGTCTCAATCATGTTTGTAAATAATTCAACATTTAAAATTGAGTTTTGTTCGCAGCGCCTCTGGTAGAAACTCCAGTTCTCACACTGCTTCAGTGTTTACAATAAAGCAAAACCTGGAAAACTTTCTAAAATTGTCATTTTTCATTGCTGAAGTGTTGAAAGACTCACAGAGACCATGTTTGCACTTTCTTTCCAGGCCAAAAAACGCACACCACTTCCTTAAATAATATATAACATACATGCACTTACTACACTAATGCCCAAGCTTAGCAGCATCAGGTAAAATTCCCATTTAAGTTCAGCTACAAACTACTAGTTACCCTATGATGAGGGTTTATCATGAAAAGATACAAACATTGTCTTTTGATAACATTTATTGGGGGATAATACGCAATTCCGTAATTATGCATACATATTACAAACTTTTTTTTTTTTTAAGTGAAAAATGTCACTATCCCAGATTTTCAATATATTAATCAATTTAGTTTTGCTAAAAACTAACAGCTAATGCCTAACAGTTGTGATTGCACTCTCAGTAAATAACTCCAAGTCGATCCTTTCAGCTTGTAATCAACACTGAGCTAGCCGGGGCCAGAAATAAATTACAGCAGTACATATTGTTTGACAACTTTAAGCTGATACTGCTAATAATTTTATTGTCATCTAGGGACTTCTTGGTGTATTTTGAAGTTGGAATGACATTTAACATTGTTTTCAAAGTTTTAAAAACACTGAGTAGATTGTAACATAGGAAATTTAAAAAAAAAAAAAAAAAAGTTGACAGGGTAGTCGGTCAACATTAAAATCTAAATAAAGAGAAAAGGAATCCTACAAGAGTTTCTAAAAGCAGATGGCAACAAGTCACATTTACTGTCACTCATCTGAGAAAGAAAGTGTGTACAAATAGAACAAGTAAAGGGTTGTAGTATTTGCCAGATTACAAAGGATTACACTAACACCTACTGAAGTGCTTTTTCCCCCACTTTTGCTTAATACTAATAACCACAAGGGAGGGGAAAAAAGCAAGTTTGGTATACAAATAAAACTGGAATAAAAGCCTTGTAAAAAATTTGGACAAATCTTATAAGAGCGCTCTGTTGCAGTGCTAGTTTAGACAAATACTACAGATGCTCTCTACAGACATGACACAAGTATTGCACAAGTATTGGCCAAACTGTCAAAAATGAATACTATTTAAGGAGGTGTCCCTCTCTTGCTTTTCCCTTGTTGGCACCACAGAAAGCCTACCCAGAATTATGCACAACTAAAACACCCCAGCTCTCGAGCATTTACAGACCAAGCCTCATTCCACATCTGGTCCATAAAGTCACAGCACATAAACTCAAAAACTATGTATTGGCCAAAACTGGCCAATACATAGTCATGCAATAAATGTGCAACTCAACATCCCCTTTTGCTATATGAAATCAAAGTAGTTCAAGGTCACAGAACAGTGACATAAGGCATTTCACAATCACCATAGCTGAAACCGGAAACCACTTTGATTTCACCCTCACACAACTCAGATACGATCAGATTGTTTGATTGCTGCATTTGTAGAGCTTCCGAGGTAAGTTGGGCACATTTTTGAAAGGCAATCTGTGGTTCTGGTTGGACTATGGCTTTATCTAGTTGGGTGCCCAACCACTCCAGGATTTAGGGCTTGTTTCATGATATCAGGCCTGGGAAGTTGAGGCATGTAGAGCGTGGGAGGAGGGCCTCCACTGAAACTGGGCCCTGGGTAGGCCTGACTGGGAATGGGGGAAGGACTCTGCTCATACAGATGGCCTTCCAATTCCTCATCCAGCGGCAGAGCCAAGCGCTTCCCCTTCTGTCTCCGGTTGCAAAACCAAACACGTACCACCTGCCAAGAGCAAACTAAAGTGTTAGTCAACAAAATGTGAACCACAAGAGACTTGTGGTGAGAGAAATAAGATATGCTTACATCTCTCTCCAGGCCCAGATCACCCGAAATGTGCTTGATTGCTTGGGTGTTCGGTTTGGGACACTTGATGAAGTAGGACTCTAGAGCAGCACGCACTGCCCCCTCCAGACTGGTCCTCCGCTTTCTTTTTCTGGTGTCAACAAAAACTCGCTCAATCTTGTACATCTGCGGAAACAGAAACATGTAAGAGGGATGGAGAGTTACTGATTGTGCTCTTCAAGCACCTACATTTGTATCACTAGAGGATTTGACATATCTGCTTCAGTTTGGGCTTAGTCTAAAATTAAAAGGAGCCCCAGTTTGGCGATCACCTGGTCCCAAACTGGTTGTTTGAAACTTACATCCTGAGGATTTTCAGAGTTCTCCGCCTCATCCAGCCATTTCTGCAGAAGGGGCTTCAGCTTGCACATGTTCTTAAAGCTCAGTTGCAGAGCCTCAAAACGACAAATGGTAGTTTGGCTGAACATTTTTCCTGCTCCAGAAAATAAAAGAAAGACTTGACGGACACACAACAGCCAGCTCCCCAAACTGCAGAAGACACTTCATGAGCATATAATATTCATAACCATTTTAAATTGCCAACATTTACCAAACCTGCCAATCCAATCTACTAAAGTCAGATGAGACAAAGTAAAGATAAAAGAATAAATTTACCATAAAGGCTTCCCAGTGAAAGGCCAACATCTGACTGGGTAAAACCCAGAGTAATGCGCTTGTGTTTGAGCTCCCTGGCAAACTGCTCCAGCTCTTCAGTGGAAACGGTTCCCTGCTAGAAGGAGAAAATTAAAAAATTATTACACAAAATTCAAGCGAAATATCTTTGGCTGATAGGTAGCGCACATTTGCAGTGCTCTTGCAAAAGGTCCACGAGATGAGGACTTACCTCTTTCTTGCATCCTTGATTGGAGGACGCGGCATTTCGTCGGGAGGTGGCCGGCCTCTGCTGCTGGGCCTCAGGGACAACCTGAGGTGTGTTCACGCTGAAATACCCGTTCCCCGGAAGTCCGTTGCTCGGGGGTGAGGGGGACAGCGATGGGGAAGATGTCGAAGATGTGGAGGGAGTTTGACTACCGCTGCCAGGTGACGAGAAGGACCAAAAGGACGGGTTCCAGGTCCCAGTCCTAGCGTAGAATAATCCGTGGGCCATATCGTTGGAGGCTTGTGGAGTCAGGTACTGCTGAACATTTATCTCGGATGAGTAGTCCTCGCGGGCGACCTTCTCCATCTTTATTTCAGGTAGTTTGATTTGCTCCGCCGTCTCGGCTTCAGGGGTGCTAAGGTTTATAGGCTGGATTGCTGTAGATACACCAGGTAATTGGCCTGCGTAGTCTGCAAAGGGATACCAATGCTTGGGTTGCCCAAAGTCTCCAGCCTGTAGCTCAGAGGGCCTGTAGTCGGTGGAGACGGATGGGAAGGGGAAAAAGGCTTGAGCGGATGTCGATGCGATACCACTGTAACAGCTTTTGTTGTAAATGCGGCTCGGGTCTGGCAAGACACCATGGGGTACCTGGAAGGAGGCACTACTACCAAAACCATCCTGACCCAAAAGCTGCGCGCAAGCGCTGGTGCGGCTGAAGTCATAAGGCCGGCTGTGGCCCTCAGGACTTTCAGACATCCTCCAAAAAAATGAAAAAACCTGGCCGAGCAACAAACGCGCTTCCAGAAAGTGGGGAAAAAGTTGATCTAGCGGTGACTGATTTTAAAATGTCTTATCCGTTTCGGGATCCAAAGGAGGAGAAAAAAATAAATAAATAAACCAGTTCAAACGTGAAGGCCTTCGTCTGAATGCAGCGTAACTACCAATATCCCAAAGGCCTAGTCAATAAAGCTTTGTCCTCCCAAACGCTTATCTACCATCAGGCTCAAATGCGTGTCTGCTCCACAGATTTTTCTTATCAGCGCCACAAGTGTTAGTATCGTCTTACAGCCAATCATCGCCCATTGGTCGGCTAGTTGATTGGGCACAGCTGAAGGTGCATTTGTAAATGACCTTGACTCCTCCCAAAGAGGTGGGCGTGTTTTTTCACCTGAACTTAAAAAAGTTATTTTTTAGCACGGTATTGATACTTTATGTATGTGAAGTACATATATTTTGAAGTTAAGCTAATGCTTAGAATAAACTGATTTACTTGGAAGACCATAAAAAAAAAAAACACTGCTCAAAAACCACAGGTCACTGCTCCTGTAAAAAAAACAATTTAACATCCTAACTCGCTCATTTCATACATAAATTATAATGCAGCGTTTCTTTACATTATTCCTCGTTAATGGCATGGCTTTGACATTAAAAGCTTCAGTGTGGCCTGAATCAATGTATTTAAATAAATACCAATGTCATCCCGAGTAACTGTGATGAAACAAATTAACCTAATGAACCAGGCCAAATGTAATCGTAAACACATTGGGGTCGGGTACTTTTTAACTCTAACAAACATAAATTGCTCATAAATTAGGCAACACTTGCATAATGGAATAAAAATGGTTTATGGCTACTCGAAATAAAAATTTTCCCACCCATTGCAGATAAAGACATGTTCTATCTTGTTGTGGGAAGCTTCTCGAGGATGAAGTAGTGAGAAATTATTCATGTCCGTGGCACCTTTTTTTTTTTACAAAGTGTATGTTTTCGCTTGTTTATTTTTTTTTTGTTTGTTTGTTTTTTGTCTTCTTCTTCATTATCTTAAAACAACTGAATATAAGTTTGTTCAGAAGGATAAGTTACAAATCTGTATTTGAATTAGAGGGTTGTGTTACTGAAATAAAAGACAGTCTACAATTTTTATGATTGTTTAAAAAAAACAGATAAAATATGTGATTACCCATAAGAGTTTACATACTGGGATAAAAGGATAAAGGAAAAGGCTACAGTTGCCAAGGTTATGGCTACTTTTTTATATTGAGCTTATTAAAACATTCGAAATGGAAAAAAACAAGCTTAACCATAAAACAATCCACAGCACTCGAGTGAACTTCTCCCATTCACCCCCTATCAATGGCTATTCAAAAGCCCAGTACAGATGCGATCCCCCAGCGCGAATCGTTGGCCGCAGATTGGTGCAGGAAGACGCACTGCGGGAAGGGAGTGGGGGGTGCAATTATACGACGAGGCCCCGGGGGCACCCTGGGGATTTCAGATCCCGAGATGCGATGGTCGGCCATTAGCTCCTTTTCACGTTGAAACAAAAAGTCCTCAACCCTTTGATTCCAATCCCCACACCCAACACCCCCCATCATCTGAGACACTATCCTGAAGTTTCGATGGAAGTTTCCCCCTAGTCTGCAATTCCCACTACAGGCATTAACTGCAATATGACCTAAAGGTGTAAAACTGGTCAAGCTGTCTGCAGGCTGTATAATCAAGTTCTGCTGGAATATAGGTTGCATGCCATGCCATGTGTAACATTCTGTCCCCTTGTGGCTTGTGGCCTTAAAAAAAAAAAAAAAAAAAAAAACATAGAGCACCTCAAACTCATGTCATTATATTCTTGGTGGTTCATGTGGTCTAGTTTAAGACGTTCTTGCAAACAAACAGAATTTCTTCTTTTTGAACTTCTGAAATTAGTTCATCACACTACATTATAACCAGCAGCATTATATCACACTTTTGGAGAGAAGTCAGTGGAGTGAAGGACATCAAATACCAGCTATACAAGCATTGTTCTGGGTACATGGACTTGGGGGAATAATTGTTATGCAAAAGACAAACACAGCAAGAGAGATAGGCTGGGCTAGAAAGAGAGAGAAAGGGACAAGAGAGCGCAGAGCTCTCAGGGTGTCCAAAGAAAAGGAGTGTTGGTGGTGTTGGGGGCAAGAGGGGGTGGAGGGTTTAGTGTTGAATGGCTCAGTACAGTGAGGAGGAGATGTGTGAGAAGAGTATCCAAGGATTTAGCTGAACCCCACCCACCCCCACCTCCCACATGTCTCAGATCTTGCCTTTAGTTCTCTTCAAGACTCATCAGAGCCCTTCAGCACAATCAGAGGAGGGGAGAAAGTAAGAGATAAAAGAAAGCCTGCTGATAGGGTGGCAGCGTGAATGTGTTGCACATCTCAACTGATCAGATCTGTGAAAGAAACACCTCCAACTTGAGTTTCATGACCCTTACTTGTGAGAGTAAATGTACTTGCTTTTTTTCTGGTCATGTCTTCCTTTTCTATTTGCAGATGCATGATGTGTAAAATGACTCACTTAACAGTAAACATGCACTTCTGGGAAGATCTTTGTGTAATTCCTGCAAGTAAGAAAGAACTTAAAAAATGTAATGAGTGTACCTACAATCTTATATTCAATCTGAGGGACTGCTTTCAGATTTAATTGGTAGGATTCCTAAAATCCACCCTTCCTCTTGAGCAGCACTATCACTATCATCTCACAAACAAGTTTGATGGCGTTTTGATTTCCCCCCCTAACAGCCCTGCCGTTAACACCCATGTTCACACACCTCCACCCACTCAAGGTTTCATCCGAGGGCTGATGGCAGCCTTCTTCTCGCTGTCCACCAGCGAGCACAAAGAGGTTTACTGGCATTTACATACATCTCAATGGAGGACTTGACACATCCCCTCCCGAGCACACACGGAAATTCAACCACATACACAAAACCCACAAACCTTTCTCTCCTACCACACACTCACTCTCACACATACACACTTTATGGGCGTAGTCAAGGTAAAACAAGATCAGACAGGATCACTCAGGACTGAGGCAGAGTGGCAGCACTACATGCGTCATACTGCCAGGTTAAAGGAGAATGTATCTGTGATTGTTTAAACTGAGTCCTTCTCTATACAGTTTGTTATTTTATTGTTATTTCTCCATATTTATGTCGACTATGGGTTAGTTGTTGTTCAGCAGGGAATATTTAGATGTCTTGTGGCATTTTATGAATATTTAGGATGAAAAATAAAGTTGGCTTTCAGTATTGTTTGATTGCACAGATTTTCATTTTTTTTTAATCTTTGAGTGTCCCAGAAGGTGGTAACATAGATCAACATCCATTTTTATACACATTTTATCTAAGAGCGCAGTCAAAATGCCAATTTCTGTTATACTAAGTCATCACAGAAGAAAAAATGTGTTGTTGTATTTTCTATGATTTGATGTTTCGTTGACTTGCTCCAGTCAAATTTAAAAACAAATCCTTAGTCTTAAGAAATGGACAAAAGAAGAAGACCCATATTTGATCAACATCTGGATAACTTTCTTTAAAACTGCAAAATAATGCACTGGCTTTGGTAGAACATGTAACTATGAAGCTTTAACTTAGTACGCCTACTATGATTCTGACAAGGGGCCACTGTTGCATCTTTGTCCTAAATTTCCTGTAATTTCTTTACTACAAACACCCAAAAGAAGCTTTACCTGTGAAAATACATAATACTGTAGAAAAGTCTTGAGCCACATCTTATTTATTTTGCTTGAAAATTAGAAATCTGTCGATCGATTAATTGAAACATGCAAGGATAATCGGGAAAATAATATGTTCTATTTGAACAAGTTTGAAAGGTAATATTTAAGATAAGATAAGATAAGACTTTATTGATCCCACAACAGGGAAATTTTTTGCGTCACCTCAGCTCAGGTACAGATATCAGAAGGAAATACAAAAATACAAATAAGTACAATCAGTGAAAAAAAAGTAAGATAATACACTATATACAATGGTAGCATACACAGTATGTGATTATGGATATGGTTGGAAATATGCAAGACCTAAACTATATAGCTTGACATAACTATTGTACCACTACTATTCCTATTTATAGACATGTACACACACACATGTACACACTAAATATACATATGTATACATATACATACATATATACCTGCACATGTCCATACACACAGAAGGTCCATTATGCATGAAGTGGTGACCGTGGATGTTCACAGTGTCCAGTGACTTATGACATAGTGATTGAGGAGTTATAGAGTCTAACAGCTGTTGGGATGAATGATCTGCGAAAGCGCTCCTTCCTGCAGCGAGAATATTTCAGTCTCTGACTAAAGGAGCTTCTCAGCCCACTCACATACTCATGCAGTGGGTGATGTAGGTTGTTCATGATGGATGTCAGCTTTACTAACATCCTCCCCTCGCCAACCACCTCCACAGACTCCAGGGGACATCCCAGCACGGAGCTAGACCTCCGCACCAGTTTGTTAATCCTGCTCCTGTCCCTGTCCGTGCATCCACTCCCCCAGCAGGCCACTGCATAGAAAAGGGCAGATGCTACCACAGTGTCATAGAATGTCCTTAACACAGTCCTGCAGACTCCGAAGGACCTCAGTCTCCTCAGCAGGTGGAGTTGACTCTGGCCCTTCTTATACAGGATGTCTGTATTTGTAGTCCAGTCCAGTTTATTGTTGAGGTGAACACCCACTTATAAGAGTCCACTATCTCAATGTCTTTCCCTTGGATGTTCACCGGTGTTGTAGGGGGTGACTTCCTCCTGAAGTCTATGATCATCTCCTTTGTCTTGCTGGCGTTGATTTGGAGTACGTTGGTCTCACAGCAGCCAACAAAGTCACTGATGATCCCCCTGTATTCCTGATCATTCCCGTCTGATACACATCCAATGATGGCTGTATCATCTGAGAACTTCTGTAGATGGCAATTG